CACTGCTAGTCTACAAGCCCACAAGAGAAGGGAAGAGAAGAGAAGAGAAGTTGAGGGCATGGGCATGGCATGAAAATTACATCAAACATGGGTTTGTATCTTCATCCTGTGTTGTGGCATATGGGAAGGTTTCCCGTGTTTAGAAATTGTGATGTAAGCCACGTACCCATGTCCTAATCACTACGATGGATACAAAAACAACCATGTACCCTCTACACATGCATGCATGATCTACAACTAGAAACATTTTTATACTTTTTCTTTTTGGTATAAAGAAACATTTATATTCTACCTGTTTGTGTAATATCAAACGTTATACTTATCTGTTATAAACTATCGTATTTGTAAATTAAGAAATAGCGTTTTGTAGGAAGTTTTGTGTTTGAATTTTATGAACGACAATAATTCATATGAAAATTGACACAATTGATGTAATAACATTGTGTCTTAAATAAAACAAATTAAATTTTAAGCTTTCTAACTCTAGCGGTAGAGTACTTTAACATTCATAATCTTGCTTGTTTGATGATGATGTATTGTTTAGGGTTTAGATAAACGAGTAATTCTACTTTGCAACCACTTAGGTACAATTATTTGTCTATCTTTTGATGGACGTATTGATTCTAGAATTAATGGCTAATAGGTCTTCACAATTAATTAAAGATTGTTTGGAGTGTAAGTAAGGTTAGAATTCAGTAAAGGCTCTTGCTTGGATCCTAAGAAAGGCTAATATCAGATTAGGAATTAAGGGCTCTAATACTATCCTATTCGGAATTGGACTTGGTAGATCAATCACATTAGCTAAAAGAATCCTATTCACTAAGGTTAAGCATATATGAACACAAGGCTACGGTCCTAGCGCGCGGACACACACCAGAAAACGCCAGAAAGCGCCCAATTAGTTTGAGTGCTAAGAAACGCTAAGTGTGTAAAGGACTTAGCCTGCTAGCTTTGACAAGTTAACATCTCTTTCATCACATGACAATTCTTACCAATCAACAAAAACCCACACCCTTATTACTAGCATAATTAATAAAGTAGGATACAGAATCATTGTTTGGTTGAAAAATTATAACCTTGCAATGATAAAGCTAAACAAAAAAGGAAAAGAACATAAAAGAGAAGGGCGAAAAGCCTTAACCAGAGGGCCCCATTGGTCACAAGGGCCGCAAGAAAGAACGCCTATATAAATCCCCTTTGCCTTCCTACTAGTCACCTCCTCTTCTGCTACTCACACAAAGTACACCATATTGGGCCCCGTCAGACTTTCGAAACTCTTCTCTTTGCACAACAACCACCACCACCACCATGGCTAGATCCCAGCAGCGGTATCGAGGCGTCCGACAGAGGCATTGGGGCTCTTGGGTCTCCGAGATTCGCCACCCTCTACTGTAATTCCCTCTCCGAACCGTTTCTTTTAAATCCTTTACAAACGTTTGTGTCATATTCCTTCAGTATTCAATGAAATATCTTCATATCATGCTTTAACTAAATAAAGCTTGCTTTTTATCCTAATGGTTAATGATAATTGTTTTAATTGAAATTTTTTTATGCATATTTCTTTGATTAATTCTGAACTAGAAAAGCGTTTCGTTGTTTTTTCAGGAAGACACGAATTTGGCTAGGCACATTCGAAACTGCGGAGGACGCTGCACGAGCATACGATGAAGCAGCAAGGCTCATGTGTGGCCTAAAAGCGCGCACAAATTTACCATACAATCCTAACGAGCCCATGTTGCATTCATCCACGCTTCTCTCAGCAGCTTTGATGGCAAAGCTGCACAAATGCAACATGGCCTCTCTCCAAATGGCCAAAACTACCAAACCTGCAGTGCCAAAGGAGGAGCCCCAAGAACAAGTACACATGCCGCTCCCTTCTACCACCTGGATTACCGGAAAAGGGGGCGAGAAGGTCAGGGATTATAGCGGAGCAGAACAATGGGTAGATCATGGGAACTGGGTTGGTGGTGATCTGCAGGGGGTTCCTCATGATCATCATCATCAGCAGCAGGAGTTTATTAAGCCTCTTCAGGATGATCATATTGAGCAGATGATTGAGGAGCTTCTTGATTACGGCTACATTGAGATTTGTCCTGGTGTTTCTGCATAGGCAACGATGAACTCAATTGCAGCTAGAGCTAGCATTTTAGCATCTTGTATGTGGAAATGCAAAATTTTTTATATTAGCTTATATAGCCTTATGTGTAATAAAATTAGTTAGATGAGTTTAAATGAATGGTTATTTAGTTAGATGAGTTTAAATGAATAGGTTATTGACTAATAAATATATCCAAAACTTATATGAGGAAAAAGAACGACAATATATGTAAGATATATAGTACACAGTCTTAGGAGAAATTTTAGTTAATGTTTTTTTTAATATCTTTAATGTGGGGTGATAGTGTCATAATCTCAAAGTGAGGCTCAAAACGCTTCATGCCTCAGTGCAATTAGGGGTGAAACTACTTAATATAAGTTCTAGTTTATTATGTCAAGTTTTGTGATGTTGGATTACATTTTTCAACACTCTCCCTCACATGAGACCACATCTTTAGTGTGCCACATGTAAACCAATTTCACATCAGCACCCTTTTTTTCCCAATAAATGAAAGATTCGTAGTCGAGTCAGAGTTTTGTTCATCGTTACGATAGGGTCTTGTTCACAATTGGAATGGTTGTCAGATCAGATCAAGTTGGAGTAAACCTGCTCCGACACCATGTGAAGATTTTAGCGGGCTAACGACCGACTATTAATCACACTAATACTATCCCAACTTAATCACCTGCACAACAAGACAATTGTGATTTTTATCATAAGGCCTCAACGCAATTAGAAGTGGAACTTTTCAATAAAATTTGTGATTCTCCAACGTGGCACTGCATTTTTCAACATATAGTATTGGTCTCATTTCAGCTTGGTATTTTGATCAAATTTGAAAACCAAAATTGTAAAAATTAAAGTACAAACTCACTGATTATTTATTCTATGAGTATTTAATTTTCATCATGTTAGAGGAGACTTTGAATTCAAATCATACGAATAATAGATAGATGTTGATTAAAAATAGCTTAGATATGAGTACTGTTTGAGTGGAATCTAACTTTAAATCTCTTTTAATGGACAAAATGTGAGAGAACATGGAATGCCTTGATCAGGACAACACGAAAAGGCAAGGAGGGGAAAACAAAATACTTGATATAAACTGTGAGCGAAAGAGTATTATGTGTACAGAACTGTGTTCAGTATCTAGTGGATAAGACATTTTCAAAACCTTTTGTTTTGTACCCGCTGATATTTCATATCTTGAGCTTCAACATGAATCACAAAAGAATAGATTGCTCTGGACTGTAGAAATCTTTAATAAAATATTGCCCATCCATAATCCAACAAAAAAGCAGCACATGAAGTTTGGAAATTCAATTAATGTATAGTCCAATCGACCTAAAAATTTACATTTCCAACAATACAATGCAGCAGGTGATAAATTTGGGATGCCGTCGCCTTGACATTTAGTTCTGCATGGATTCGATTTGAGTTGGATGTCATGGTTGAACCAAAATTGGTTGATGGTAATACGAAATATTTTCCACGAAGGGTTGTCGTTCCATTATATGTATGAAGCGGACAAGCATTCAGTCAATAGTTGTGGCAATAGTGGCAACACAGTGAAATAATGTTAGTGTCCAATTTTCGAGTCAATGTTATTTGTATATAGGTATCTCTCCGAGCAACGCGCAATGACCAGATGCTGCCAAAATATGAACAAATTGTTGCAGACTTGGAGCCATAAATATATGACTGCTTTCCTCCCTCTGCATAGACGTTCCCATTGTTTTCTCACCTGCTTTTCTGAGCTGATATACACATTAGACAGCTTTGTTATCCTTCCAGCTTAGATCCACGGATTCCAATAGCTAAAAGCCTCACTTTTGACCAACAGAAAAAGAAGGGGAGAAAAACACTTACAATCCACTTTTCTGTGTTGACACGTAATACCGTTAAGTAGTGTTATCTTTCCTCAAAAATTATAAGTTGTAGTGCCTGTGAATTTTGATTTTAAGCTTTATAATTAACAAGTCTAAGTGTGTTACAACACGAGCATTACGTTCACTCGTTTTATCTAACTATTAAGTGAATCGCAATTGATATCATAATTGTGCAAAAAAAAAAAAAAAAAAAAAAAGATTAACACACCTTTGGCCGGTTTCATACACGTTTAATTAATTTAGACATATATATGTAGTGGTAACAATTCGATTCAAAAGATTGAAAAATTTGGCTTTCGTGTGTTAATGATTAACAGCTTAATATGTTGTCAAAAAGCGATTTCAACATATATTTTTCTCATTTTGCACACCCTTACTATTATTTTTTATTTTTTTAATAAAATAAATTAAAAGATAATTAAAAACAGACTAACCGTAATCAATTTCACCTCAAAAGGCAAAACATATATTATTGATAAAGCATCCATTGGAAATTGTTATTATTGCAATTAAGTTTTGCAATTGTCTAATCGAAGAATGTTAAGAAGATTGTATTTTTTGCACCACATTGATGTATTATCTCATGTGATGAGTAATGTATACATGTCACGTCAATTAATAAATCTATTTGATTAAGTGTTGGTTGTATGCATTATTTATCATATGAGATTGTACATCAATATGATTTAAAAATGTATTCTCCCTAACATTGTTCTCGTATAATCGTTAATATATCGTCAAAAAGAGATTACAGCTTCATATTTTGAAGGTAGGTATAATGATCTCTGCGGAGTAAAGAAAATTAGAAAAGTTCTACCGACGATAATTACCTACTAGTCAAGATCGAGATGCACTTCGTCCGTTACTTTTGGTTTGTGCTTGTGGATCTCTTCTATGCTAAACAAACAAGGACTTGCACTTTGACAAAAAAACAAGATCATGTAGTTTCCAACAAATAGGGGTCACATGTCACTCTGTTTTTATATTTATTTATGTCATAGTCATGCAGTTCCATCAAACATATACAGTATTGCGCCTGTATTTATTTTCTTGTCAAAAATCTTTGTCAATACAAATGCATGTTATAAATTGTTCCTCTCATTTGGCCGTTCTTTTCCAAACCCAAAACTTTATCTCCCCCCCCTCCTCTGCTTTCCTTCCCCAAGAATTTGGATTCTCGTCAGATCTCCAGGAAGGGGATTTGGCGAGGATCCTAATCCCTTCCCCATAAACCATCCATACCCCATCCTTTGCTCTGATATGCAGACTCCGCACCAAATATGTTTGCCAAATTTATTTCCCTCCCTCGCTGTACCCCCAAAACGGCATGCTAGATTTCCCCTGAGGCCAAGTGTACTGCAGCTTTGGCCAAAGTAAAGGTATTTTACATACGCCTCACCTTTTATCCATGTGTTATTGTGTTTGTATATATTTGCAGGGATTTGTGAATGAGATTTGGATATGGTGACTATATTTTGGTTCTGCGTCTTTAGTGAAGAAATCTGGATGTGCTGTGCTTCTTGTTGCAGGTTTGGCACTTTTGTGCTGCGATGTCTTGTTCGTTTTCACCACTCGGTTATTTTCTCTAGTGTTGCTGCTTCGGTATCTGCTGGCAAGGCTTTTGTGGCAGTGACAGCGGCGGACGCTACTTTCTGCAGTCGGAAATTAGAGATTTGGGCTTCTGTTTTAGTTCATTTTATTGAGTTGGGTTTTATGTATCTGTTTCCATCCAATGTATTTGATTTATTTTGCTTTCCTGTTGGCCTGTAAATTTCTATCGGATTAATGCAATTTTTTTAGACCAAAAAAAAAAAATAATAATAAATTTACTTGAAAGATCCTTTCAAGTCAAAAACAACTATTCGTTTATGAAGTGATTGGACTTAACTCTCCCAACAAAAGTAGTCATCCATTGCTTTAATATGATATAATATTATTATATTGAGGAAAAAACATAATAGCAAAGAAAAAAACGCATAAAATTTGAATCAGGGAAAACAAGTTTGGAAAAAGACAGAAGAAAACAAGGATGGTTAATTACAAGATTAGTGTGGGATTTCACCCCACGCAGTAATCGTATTGTTTAATGTTTATCTCTCTGGAATTGATTTTGTCCCCCGCAACCTTTCTTGTGATCATTTTATTTTCAACTTTTACAGAATTCGGCATATTGTAATAACATGTAATAGGAGTCAAATATAGATCATGTATTCAGAAACTTGTGATCATCTTTACGTTCGGTTTTTGTGACAGAAAACAAAAAAATTGGATGTGTAATATATGAATCTCTCCCGTACACATTTGTGACATCGTATAATTGTAATACCAAAAGTAACATTCCATCTTTTACCCTAAAATGATCAAAAACAACTTATTACCCTGTAATGTGGTATTTAATTTTTTTTCTCTTTCCTTGAAAAAAAAAAAAAAGAAGCAATATCAAGACAGTCAAGATTAATCATGGTACATGGAATTTAATGTGTCAAAATTGATCACAAGTAGGCAATCATATGCCATTAACAATCCCCAAGCCCTTTAAATCATAAATTGGATATGCGTCAATCTTATATATTCTAGTTAATTGGATTCGCTTTATCATTGTATTTGGATACCTGCGGGAATGAAGCAAGCGTGCGGCCGGGCAGCAGGTTGGTGGCCAAACTTCCCATATTGCATGCCAAAACACTTTCAACCCCATTTTTTTCTTCTAAAAAACAACATGTAGAACCAAACAAAGCGCTCTCTCTCTCTCTCTCTCTCTCTCTCTCTCTCTGTGAGCATGGGCATGCATGTAATATATGTTCCCCTTTACATTCCCTTCCACTCCCATTCCTTCACATGGACGACCATGTTATCCTCAAATGTATAGACTCTCGATGTATATATATGCATGTTAGCATGCACATGGTTTTAGCTACCCCTTTTACGATGTAGGGTTAGCTCGCTCTCTCTCTCTCTCTCTCTCTCTCTCTCTCTCTCACCTGGTACTTGTTTACCTTGTAGTTCTTTGTTCACTTTGTCTCACCCAATTCCTTCACATGAGCAAACATTTTATCCAAATAATTTGTCTCAATATGCATGATTGTTAGCATGCACGCACATGGTTTTAGGCTTTTAGCTGCCCGGTCACATGAGCCATGTTATGGCACATTGGAACAATATTTTCCATTTTACCTAGGAGTTCTCACGTCATTGTCTTCCCTCTCCTTTATCATTTTGAATTTTAATACTAAAATCATAAGAAAAACTAACAAAAATGACTTCAAAACTTTGCATTTTAACAAAAAAATCACCTAATAACTTTATTTAATGATAAAAACTAGATAATATATATATATATATATATATATAAGGCATTGGCCCACCGCCTCCCACCATTACCACCCCCCTTCCCAAAAAAAAAGCCACCTTTCCTCCTCGTCATTGAAGTGATCAAGTTTTTGATAAAAATCAAAGATGATTAGTAAAAATGATACTCCTCTCTACAAATGATGGTCCAATATCTACATCAATCTCTAGGAAATTGGCTTGCCTCAAATATTATAGGATACAACCTTTTTCGGTAGGTAAGCTTTTGTTGCAACATCATGCGCACTTGACCATCCAATATCCTTCAACAATACTTGGAATTAACTTTAATCTTGCATTGCAAAACATGTCACTTCCATTCACAAACTTAGCCTTTGACAAAGCAAGATAACACAAACACACGTCTAGTACTATAATCTTGTAAAGTGTATTTTCATGTGTATAATAAATTATATATATAAGTGATATATGTAGATTTCACTCGTACCTACTTAAGGTAAAATAAATAATATACGTATATACACAGTATAGTACTGTTAAGGTTCATAAACATTGTAGTACCGTTAAGGTTCATAAATATTGTAGTACCGTTAAGTTTTATAAGCAGTGTAATAAGTTTTATAAACAATATGTGTGAGGACACGTGGGTCCCGAGCGTTAGTTTTTTTTTTTTTTTTTTTAATTTTTAATATTAAAATTATGTCTTTTTCATTAAAATTTAAGTTATTTTGTTATTTTTATTAAAATTTAAGAGTTTTTCATTAAAATTTAAGTCTTTTCATTAAATAAAGTTATAGCATGGTTTTTGGTTAAAATAAACTTAGCTCAAGCCCTTTTCATGAAAGTTCCCAAAATCATAGGCTTTTAACCTATATTAGCAACAATGCTCACTTTTTAATACAACAATTGGATACCATCTTATGTGATGATTGATATGTCCTGACACGTAATCAATTGTATTCATGTTTTATTGTTGAGAGAGAATCCATTTCCGTAAAAGAATCTTCCATATGTGTATAAGGAGTTGGATTGCTTATCATATTGTTAATTAATTTTATGGTCGAACTTCAACTTTCTTATTTATATTATTTTTAAATAATTTTATTTTTGATTAATTAGAGAATTTAGTTGTGTTTACTCAGTTGGGATTATGAAGGATGGCAAGTCCAACATCAACCAAAATCTGAAGTCAATAAGCCGATATAAGTGAGGGCTCCTTACTTATAATTAAAATGAATTAAGCCAACCCATGGACCTTGTGATCTTGAGTTTGGATTTGGGCTTGGGTATATATTAATATTAATATATCAAGGATGGCTTTGGGTTTTGGGGCTCATCAGATGATTTAAGTATTGGGTTCACATTTTTGTTTTTTGATTCAGCTTTTTTGAAAGGATAAAGTTGCTTCAGTCAACAGTTGTAACAATTTCGAAAGGATAAGATTGATTTCAAAAGGTTGTAATTGTGATATCCCGTCCCTAAAATTAGTATTTTATTTTATTTTAGACATATTACGGAGATTTAATTGAAGTTAGTTTGTTAATTCTCTGATTTCGAGAAAAGTGAAGTGAAGGCATTTCTGCCATTTCAAATTTTACTCGACCTTTTCGGTCAATTCTTGAGTTATTTAGGTAGAGCTTGATTCCACTAGCACCTAGGCGCAAACATATCTTAATTCCGAGTTAAAATGAAGAAGTTACGAGTCTTGAAAGTAATGAGACCTTTTAAACATGTGGACATCCTATAATTAGTAAGGACTATTTGTGGAAACCCAGAAATGGGTAAGTTTCTATTTCGGGAAACTGAACCCAAATCCAGAAACTAACCCAGAAAACCCACCCAATTGACCTCCGCGACCCATGAACTTCTGACGCCAATTCCAGTCAACTCCGGCGGTATTTTTCGATGCCACCACCACCATCTTGAATCTCTCATGTCCCTCTACAAAACCCACCCAAGAACCACCTTGATTAACCACCGTATGTGGCGGTGCGAGGCCATAAAAACCGACGAAAATCAACAATGCTCAGGCCACCCTTTTCATTTTTCCGGTGAATCGGCAAATTGATGACCGATTCCACCACTTGAAACTTATAGCCCATCATCCAAGGAGTAAATCCTGACCATAATTGACCCTGTTGGACCACCGTAGACGACGAATCGATGCCGGGAAGCTTTAGGCACCTGCCGGATTTATCATCAAAATTGATCCTCTTCCGTCCACTTTTGGACTTTGTGGCAGGTATAAAACTTGTTCCTCTTGTTGAGTTCTATCTTCCTGTAAATTTTGGTAGAATTTAGAGTTAGTCGGAAAAGTGAGTTTCCGGTCGCCGGAAACCACCACGCGTGGGGGAGAATCTGTTATCATGGATTTTGGACAGTGAGACATTCTCGATGTCCTGAGCCCATATCCAAAGTCCATTCATCGAAATTCGATACAATGTTTCGATTATTCAAGTTTTTGGATAATTGTACCGTTATACGATTTTTGTAATTGACAACAATCCGACCGTTGGATTGTTGTGCAATGAGCACCTTATTTATCAGTTGTTGGACCTTCAAGAACTTATGGATCGGGAATCCGATGAGTGGATCTTCTGAATTGAATTACCTAGGTTTATTGACCTTAGAGGACCTTTGATAGACATTTGGCTTTTTAGTCAATGTACCCTATTTTAGTGTGTTGTTATTTTTAGAATGTTTTTAAGGCTTGATGGAGCTTAGTTGGCTCATCACGATGATATGTCGTTCTCGGTTGATGTGCGTTTTGATTTACGGTGGCACTTGGCCTTGTTTTACGTGTTGGTCTTATTAAGTTTCCTAAGTGGGATTTTGTGTGTTGTATTAGGTTCTTGGGGGCGGAGTTAGTGAATGTAGAAGTGCAAATAACTCAGGCGAGTGACATTAATATTATGTAATATGGTTATCACCTGTGAAATTTCTTGTTATATACTTTGTGGATATAACATGGATTTACAAATGATTTTATGGAAATGTGTGCTACCATACTATGTTTACTTGATGGTGCTATCGAAATATATATATATATATATATATATATGCTATGCTTGAAATGATTGTGATATGTGAGGCTAGTAGAGGACCGTTAACCCAGTACATGGGGTAATGTGGGATTTAATCAGAATCTGCACCATATGGCAGTGGTACATGGATGGTCCTACTTGGTTAATCCGCAATGGGGGACCATACTACCTTGGGATCGTGCTTGGTTAATCCGCGATGTGCGATCCTTATTGCTTAGGTATGGCCATACATACATATTTAAGGGTGATCATGCTTGGTTAATCTGCGATGGGTGATCACTATTTATAGTATTCGTAGGAATGACTCTGCTTGGTTAATCCACTATGGGGGGTCACTACCTACATGATGTTCTTAGGAGTGATTTTGCTTGGCCAATCTGCAATGGGGGACCACATCCTAATCGGTTGCCTAATGTAGGATTCGGCCGAACTGTGTCTCTCTATAGCCCTAGACTGTTGTTTGTTACGTATATGAAAGTTAAGGTTGAAAGCTTGTGTGACTCAAGCTAAAAAGTGACGATTGAACCAATTAGTTTACATGATGGTGTTGCCTAAAAGATAACAGATTTAGATGTGACTCATTCCTACTTGTAACGAAGAGATGCAATGAGGAAAAGATACCAATCTCATTCCTACACATAAATGTATTTATGATGGTGTGTCATTCCTACACAACTTCGGGCTGTGTGATGACTGAATGTTATCTTGATAAATGTCGTGAGATTCAGAATTGAATAACCATTCTTATATGTAATAATGAGGCGTATGGTGGTTAAATTATGAAATTTGTGGCAATTGGACCCTTGTGATTACTCGAAAATGATGAAAGGCGAGTGGTGAGTCACAATCTGAAGGGAATGACGGAATAATATTGACAGTGATGATATTGATGGTTGATACGTTATACAGAGAAATGTCATATGTGGATGTAGTACTACTTTGACATTTAATCATTTGATGTTATTTTTTTTCACATATGTTATATTATTGTCACTCACACGAGCTTTGCAGCTTATCCGGGTTTTGCTTTGCCCGGTCTGTCCTTATGACGTAGGGTTATTTTGCAGAGTAACAGGTAGCAATTAGAGGAGAAGATTGTAGGTGGTGTAGCTATTATGAGCAGTGCACTTGAGAATAGGATTGCCACTCTTTGTTGTACGTTACTTTCGTTGATGCTCTGATGTATATTATATGTATGAGTCTTGGTGACTATATATTTTATATTGTACCGCTACAGTCCTCGATCGTGCGTTGATTTCGAGTGTATCTTGGGATCTGGTCGTGACAGTAATTGCATCCAACAATTGCAAACGTTGGGATTAAGCCATTATATATATGGTTGCAGGATTAAATGAAAGCATGCTTTTTAATCTTTCACTGAGAAACACATATCAATTGGCCATGAATTCAAGTTCTAGTGCAAAAACTTAGATTAGATAGTTATATCCTGCAAGATAGATGTCTGCGAACTATTGCACTGGTGTGGGGATGTATTTCTGTCTTAGGAGATTGCTATCTTTTCGAAAACAAGTCAGTGATATTTGTTGTGATTTTATTTACAACTTCATTAATTATTCATATTGTGGTTTAATTATTACATATATTATATAATCCGTATTTGATTGGTTTTAAGAATCTAAGACAAAAATATGGATCAATCAAATGTTTGTGTCATTAAGCAACACATAGAGAAACCTGAGAAATTCAAGGGAGTTGATTTCAAACGTTGGCAACATAAGATTTTGTTTTACTTGACAACTTTGAAGTTGAGTCATATCATTATAACTGAAGCCCTTAAAGTAGCAGAATAGGGAGATATCAATGCTGAAATTCTGCAGGCCATGGAAGCTTGGACTCACAGTGAATTTCTATGTAGGAACCTTGGACTCATAGTGAATTTCTATGTAGGAACTACATTTTGAATGCTTTAGATGACCCTCCTTCATATAAGACGGCTAAGGAACTGTGGGAGTTCTGGACAAAAAATATAAGTCTTAAGTGCCTAGTTCCGAGAAGATTGTGATTGAAAAATTTCTGTATTATAGGCTTCATTTGACAGAACCATTTAGCCGTCGAATTTGGACCGACTCGCTTTGGGATCAGTCAATTTGACAGATGGAATTAATGAATAATATAGGAGGAGATTTCTTGTTTGTCATGTACACGCCACAAGTGCAAGGTCTCATCATTACAAGCTTTAGGGCACGATGTTTAAAGGCACACGTCATGAATCCAAAATGACTCCACTTCAACTCTAAGAGTTGGATCAAACATACATAAAGATTGAAGAATAAAAGATACGTATTCCAGCTTATTCTGAAATGCATGGTTTTTGGATAGCAATCCATCCTTAAGGTAATGGGTTGCATCTCAAAGGCATAGTTAAGGGCAATTGTGAGACCATGATTTTCTAGAGCCGAGTAAAGCTGATTCGAATACAGTTATCTTAGGAGTCTAGTCATGGACACACTAGATTTGGGTGGAGCTGGATCAGACGGAGTAGCAGTGCCACTATCACCTTATTCCAGGGCAATATGCAGAGTCCAAGCAATTCAGCTGGATGACCATGCTTCATCTACCATTGCTGTCGAGTCTTCCATCTTTGACACCAGCAAACGAAGAAATGACTTGTGTCACGAATTTGATCCACATGATTTGTGACGACTTTAGACCTGCATCACTCACTAGAGTCGTTAAGGGAATTGATGCAGAACATGAAATAAACACATACATTTGGTATATCGCACAATAAATTATCGAAAGATAAATTTATATACTGGAATAAAGAGGGTGTTGTAAAACAATATATTACTGGCTGATTACGGGGAAATGCTTGCAAGAATAGCCCCTAAAGCAAGAGATTTTTCAGTCTGACCGAAACATGGGATGATACATCACGTGTCACTATACAAATTGTGGGATATGTGTGTTAAAAAGTTAATAACTTAACAAATAAAATTTCTTACCACCTATATAAAAACATATGGTGTACTACCCATGTTTCGGTTATAATGAAAAATTTCTCCCTTGAAGCGAGTTTGCACATACTTGCTAGACACGTGGATTTCCACCTGTGGTAATAAATAGTGCAGTTTGGACTACTAAAACCAAAATAAAATGCTAATCAGGGAAGCGTCATTCGTAGATGGGAAGCTTCATTCCTAGATGCATAAACACCACACATCCAGGGAAAAATAACACAAAAGCAAATACCTAATTGACAGGAAAATGAAAAACAACCCTATATGGATTTGAAAAACCACCAAATGATGTGTTTGTATACACCTTAATATCGTATTTACTATAAACAAATGAAGTTGATATTGAACTCTAATTTGAATAAATAATATTATGTCGATCGTTTTATATTGTGTGTAACATGTGATAAATATCAATTATAAGAAAATTATTAGGCTGGCCGCCACACCGCCTAATATAAAGATTGTTTGAAATAGTGATGTACTTTGAGAACCACCAAGAGGTACTCTGCCGCCACACCGCCTACCGCCTATTATAAAGGATGGTTCGTGAAAAAGTGATGTACTTCGAGAACCACCAAGAGGTAGTCTGCCGCCACACCGCCTATTATAAAGAATGTTTGCCGGTGTACACGTGGTTGTGCAGTTTCTTACATGCTTGATGGTTCGGTATCATGTACAACACGCAAGCAATTACGACATATTGACCAACACTAACAAATTTTGTTACTTCCGTTCTTAAACTATCTTCAACTTTTAAGTTAAAATTTAAAATTTATAACTTATAAAATTTAAGTATTAATCTAGAAATAATATTTTTATTCAAATTTTTCTGGGTTAAAATTTCAACCACAAATCATTAAAGGATGAATTTAGGCTATTTTTTTCTTCTTCTTAAAGTAACATTTTTAAAAGAAAAAAATTATGTTGACTATCATAATTTAATTTTATAAACATTTTAACCTAAAAATATTTAGATTTCGACAAATATTGAAAAATAACTAACCGACACTATGAAAGAATATGAAACACATAAAGAATTTTTTTTAATTACTTGAGCCATTGGATTTAAATTTGGAACGTTGATTTTTTTTTTCTCGTTGAATTTAATGAATTTATAAATATAAAACTAAAAAAAATATACATATATGTTGGACTAGCCCTACCAACCAAAGGGAATCTTGGGCTAAATTTGGCACATAAATGAGTTTTGAGTTTTAACTCATATTTATCCTAAAGGTTAGAGCAAGTTAGAATAAGTTTAGAACCTAAAATTTAAGTTTTACTTCAAGGTTGGAGTACATCTTAGGGGTCGGTTTTTCCACATTTGAATTTCGAGATTGACCTTCCCTCAAATTTTGCTTCCTGTGCTGCTTGCCAGTCAATCTTCCAGTGCCTATAAATTCCACAACTGCTTTACCCTTTGCTTCACACTTCATTGCTTGAAAAAACAATCACTATTGTTGTTCCAGACTTCCAGTAATAGTATTATCATTTCCCCACAAGCTTTGTAGCTTGTGTGTTTGTTCTTTGGACTAAGAAAATGGCCTCATCTGCAAGTGAAAATCGCTTAGTGTTATCCAAGATTGCAACCAATGGAAAACATGGTGAGAACTCTCCGTACTTCGACGGATGGAAAGTGTACGATCAAAACCCTTACCACCTAACTGAAAATCCTGAGGGTGTAATCCAGATGGGCTTTGCAGAAACTCAGGTTTGCACTGTGCTCCGTTGTTTTTCTTCTTCACGTTTAGTTTTTTCAGTTATAAGGAGGTCAAAGGGCCGGGGTGGGGGATTCAAACTCTTGCCTTGGAGTCCCACTAAAAATATTCACTTAGAGGTTCCATCATAAAATCAATTAGTAACGGTGAGAGTAGTTCATAAGCACATGCAAAGTTTATTCTTTAGGATTCACTCTCAACTTGCTCCCTCATGTGTGGTTGTTGGGCTTTACTTATGAAACAATCTGTTCTAATACTGTTCCGATATCATAAAGAAAGTTGAAGTTTTACTATAAAATCAATTGGCAATATGGAGAGTAATCCAACCTCTTATAAGTCCTTACAAAGTTTCTTCTTTTACTGTGGTGAGATTGTTTTACCTTCACATCCTCACAAGTCTCTTTTCCTTATTCATGAGGAATCCCTTATTTTTCTACCAAACACAAAATGCATAAGTTATTACATTATAGTTAAGAAGTAACTAATCTACCAAAATGCATGGTTTAACTTTCATTTGTTTCCAGCTTCCCTTTGATTTGGTTGAAGAGTGGATTAAGAAATATCCCAAAGCCTTATTTGCACTGCTGAAGGAGTTGAGAAGTTCAGAAACGTGGCCAATTTTCAAGACTACCATGGCTTCCCAAAGTTCAGACAGGTACATACACACATATGCATGCATGGCATGGTCCACGGAAATCATTTATTTAGTAATTGGCGCTTTATACTTGCATGATATTAATTAATTTTAAGGCATTGCTACTTTCATGTCGAAAGCATGAGGTGGTTGAGTCATATCTGATTCTCACCGAGGCGAAGCCACCGGAGCAAACGAGCTGGTCATGTTCTGTTTAGCCGACCCCGGGGATTTCAAATATTGTGCGAAAATTGTTTTAGTTTACGTAGGTACTTTGATAATTATATTCCGTGCTGAATAGTTGAGTGCTTAACTCCTCAAAAGCCTTCATAGCCATTATTTTTTTTTTCGAGTAAAATACAAAAAACTACCTCAACTATTGTGTCACGACACTTTCGTACATCATCTTTTAACATTGACAACGTCATACTTTATCTTTAGAATTTGGTACAATGTTATACCTTCCGTTACTTGCCTGTTTACTTTTTAGTTAAATGCTGACGTGTTGATTCGGGACCCATTTTTCATTAAAATATTATTAAAAACTAAAAAAAATGATTAAATATTTTTAAAATAATAAAGAAAAGTATTAAATTTTTTTTTGAAAACCCATTAACCCTCTAGCCGGAAGAAGAAGAAGAAGAAAAAAAAAAAAAAAAATTCAAAGTGAACCCAGTTCGTCCTTCCTCCCCGAAAAAAAAACCCCAACCCCCTGCCAACCCTAAATCCACCACCCTCATCCATTCTCCACATCCTCTTCCGCACCCATCCCTTATCTTCTCCACGCACCCATCTTCTCGTCGACGGGATCTTGTTTTTTTTTTTTTTTTTTTTTTTTTTTTTTTTTTCTGGGTTGCAGGAGGGAGAAGAGAGGGGGGGGGGTTGGTGGGGAGGGGGAAGACAAACTGAGGGTGGGTGCGAGGGTAAGACAAATTGGAAATTTTTTTTTTGGGGGTTGAAGGTTGGGGAAAGAAGATGAAGATGGGGGAGAGGGGAGAGGGAGAGGGGAGAGGAGAGAGGAAGGGGTGGAGGGGGAGGGACGAACTGAGGGTTGTTTTTATTTATTTTTATTATTTTAATATTTAATATTTTTTTTAAGTTGTTAATAATATTTTAATAGAAATTGAGTTTCTAATCAAGCCACATTAGTATTTAACTGAAAAGTAAACAACCAAGTAACGGAAGGTATAACATTGGATCAAATTCTAAAGATGAGGTATGACATTGTCAATAAATCAATAGTTAAGGTAGTTTTTTATATTTTACCCTTTTTTTCCTCATTCGTTTGGTTGACTAGGTGTTCTTTAATTTGTACACACAATCTAGCAGTAGGTTTAAGAATTTTTGGTAGAAAGAAACTTGTGGTGTCCAAGTCATGGGCTTGTCCAGAAGGTTTTGAAATCCTTAAATTTAACACATATTTGGGCTTTTATGAAGGTCACCAGATTTGGTCCAACATAGAGAGTTGGAATTTTCATATCTGGTACGCACCTATGTGTGTTTAGGGTCATAATGAAATATAAATAAGGATTTTAGTTCAATAAGTTAGGTGGACGATCACAAGCTTTTTATTTTTATTTTTTTAATATATATATATATATATATATGTATGTATGTATGTATGTATGTGGGAAGGTCCAAAAATTCTGAATCTCGCCTAATCTTACTCATCATTCTATACTTAATTCTAATGATCACGTATTTTAATTGGTATGATATTTTTTTTAAAGAGGAACAACTGGTGGTAAGCCACAGTTATTCATCCCTTCTGGAGGATGGGAAGACTCACATAGATATTATAGTCTTTTCTGGCCACAGGTTTGCTCACATAGACATTTTAGTCTTCCCTGACCACAAGTTTAGCTTCCAATCAGCGGGTTTTGAACCCAAGACCTCTATTTTTTAATTTGAATGAAGCCTCACAATCCGTCATTTACCATTGGACCACGAGCTCGTGGTTATTTTATCAAACTTGCAATATTATTAATGTGGATTTAAGAACTAGTTAAGACATTTTGACTCCACAGTTAGAAATTTACTATAAGATCAAAGCCATACGCATCATACTCAACCATCCATATTCACATTGGATGATAATTTAAATCAGATTAGTCTCTGTTGTTTACAGCTGGATGTTTAGGCAAAACTTCAACTTCGTCAATTTCCTTCCCATAATTGTTTAACGTCTTTATCTTTATACCATAATGTTAAATTTCCCAATTAGCTTCAATTTCCGTTCTCATATATTTCTCACCAAACTTGATATGCTCAGTGTACCTCTCATTTTCTTATATCGATATGTACAAGCATGAAGAAATTGCTAATTACAAGTCACCAAGCTAAATTAGAAGCTTAACTAATTTTACTCGTAAATTAATTAAGATTTCATATATCTAACTGCAGATTTTACCGAGACCTCGGATGGAGAACTGGAGTCCAAATTGTCCCCCTCGATTGTGATAGCTCCAAGAATTTCAAAATAACCAAAGAAGCACCGGAAGCAGCTTATGAAAATGCCCAAAAAACAACAACAATGTGAGGGGCTTGATCATAACAAAAGCATCAAATCCATTAGGCACAACCCTTGACAAAGACACACTTGAAAGCCTTGTCACATTCATAAGCCAAATGAACATGCACTGTGGCTTATGAAAGTGACAAGGCTTTCAAGTGTGTCTTTGTCAAGGGTTGTGCCTAATGGATTTGATGGATTCGATGACTTTATTATGATCAAAGCTTTCAGTTGGATGAAAAGGAGTTCGGTTTTTCACCGAATTCTCTTTGTGAGGATTCCAGAGATTCATGAATCGTATCTGTTAATCGTACATCATGAGATCAGAAATTATTTTAAATATTTTTATTAAAAAATGAACATAAACAGTATTTGATAAAAACTACGTACGATATATGATGAACGAATACGATTGATGGATTCCTAGAATCCTTACAAAAATGATCTGTAGAGGATTCTGCTGGGGGGTGAAAAGTTTTGATCGTACGCTTTCCATCTGTCGTAGTACGGAGAGTTCTCACCATGCTTTTCATTGGTTGCAATCTTGGATAACACTAAGCGATATTCACTTGCAGATGAGGCCATTTTCTTGGTTCCAAAGAACAAACACACAAGCTATATGGCTGGAGGGGGAATGATAATACTATTATTGGAAGTCTGGAACGACAATAGTGATTGCTTTTTCAAGCAATGAAGATGAAGCAAAGGGTAAGGCAGTTGTGGAATTTATAGGCGTGGAAGATTGATTGGCAAGCAGCACAGGAAGCAAATTTGAGGGAAAAGTCCATCTTTCAAATGTGGAAAAACTGACCCCTAAGAACGGAAGTAACAGATTTAATTGTGGTAGTTTTGGTAAATGGGTCGTAATCGCTTCCATGTAAAAACCTGCACAACCAGGTGTACACCGGCAGCGTACCTCTTGGTGGTTCTTAACTTCTTATAGTTGGTGGTGTGATGGTCAAACTATTAGTTTTCTTATAATTGATATATTGTATGATATTATCACGCAATATAAGAGCTCAATCTCGACTTTATTTGTTTATAATAAAATATAATACTGACGTGTAAACAAACACATCATTTGGTAGTTTTTTAAATCCATCTAGAAAGTTGTTTTTCATTTTCCTGTTAATTAGGTATTTGCTTTTGTTTTCATTTTATTTTTGGCTGGATGTGGTGTTTATGTTTCTAGGAATGAACCTTCCCCGAAACACTATGAGTTTGGCTAGCATTATCTAATTAGTTATGTACCTTTAGTTTTCTAGAATATTTTCTTATAACTTATAAGCCTTTATTTCGTATGTCTTTTCATACCGGCAGTGTACCACTTGGTGGTTCTTATAGTTGGTGGTGTGACGATCAAATTAATAGTTTTTTTTTTATTTTTATTTTTATAATTTGATATATTGCATGATATTATACACACAATATAAGACGGTTGAAATGATATCATTTATTTAAATTAGAGCTTAATTTCGACTTCATTTGTTTATAATGAAATACAATATTGACGTGTATACAAAACATGTCATTTGCTGGTTTTCTAAATCCATCTAGAAAGTTGTTTTTCATTTTCCGGTTAATTAGGTATTTGCTTTTGTTTTCATTTTATTTTTGGCTGGATGTGGTGTTTAAGTTTCTAGGAATGAAGCTTCACCGAAACACTATGAGTTTGGCTAGCATTATCTAATTAGTTATCTACTTTTAGTTTTCAAGAATATTTTCTTATGAGCCTTTATTTCGTATGTCTTTTCATATTTCTCACTTGAAGTTGTAAGTCTATAAATATATATTTATAAGGAAGAAAAGAAGGTAGAAATTATTTGAATTTTCACTTTGAAATTTGAGTTGTAAACTCGTTTTTAAGTGTCTTTTTCTTGTTTAAGAGTTTGTTACTTTGTTCTTTAGTTGTATATACGTCATAGGTTGTTACTAGAAGTGAATCTCTTAGGGCTTTTAGGTCTCTCCTGGCACAAGAAGATAGTGGACACTACTTATCTATCATATCTTTTCATTTTTATTTCCCACCACGTTGCCTTCCTACATCAGTTGGTATCAGAGCATCAACTTGATCCAAGAGTAATGCTATATTAAAGATAACGATGTCAGTTCGAGTTCCTACTACGACAATCAAGTTAGTCAACAAATCTATAATTCTTAAGACTTGAAAATCCTATGAACTTCACTTCTACTACCAGCCTAGACAACTAGAAGAACGTACAAATCAACAAACTCTGAAACAAGAGTAAGGCACTTACCAATGAGTTTACAACTCAAATTTCTATATGATAATTCAAACAACTGTTATCTCCCTTTTTACCTTCCAAATACATATTTATAGGCTTACAACTTCAAGTGAGAAATGTGAAAAGACATATATAAGAAAATATTCTAGAGAACTAAAAAATACATGATTAATTAGATAATACAAGTAATATAATCAGCCAGCACCATAAATATATTAAAAATAGCTCATGTCTTCCTTCTCCACTCACTAGGAGTTTGAAAGCTTCAATCAACACAGTCGTAGGTGCACTAGAATGGATAGAACATGTCGTAGGTGAAACTTCTAGACCAACATCTTCCCTAGCCTTTGTACGATTTCAAGAGTTAGTCACTAGGAATGGTAAAGAGAGTTCCTTTTTTGTTCGTTTGACCCATGAAAGATGCTTTTTATTGGTCTCTCAATAGGCGAAGCAAAACAAAACTACGCTCAATCTAGCACTAGTAATGAGGAAAAATAGGTATTTTGCCTAGTAGTTGTCTTTCTCTTGTCCAGATCGGAAGTTGGAAATAAGGAGTTAGGTATTGAACGATAAAGTTTTTAGATAGAATTGAGAAGAAAGTTATGTTTCAACTCATTTTGAGGGGGACTCGGTATATGGTGTTCCAATTTCTCCCTTTTATTCCTTTCTTCCACCTTTTCCCTCTGTTTCCTTTCGTCTTCCTTCCCCTTCTCTACCTTTTCTCCTTCTTTCCACCTTTTCCCCTTATTTTTTTTCCCACCTTTTTCTCCTCATTTCCCCCACGTTCCCCAATCCGGATCAGCTTTATCCTTCTCCGACTTCACAGTCCGGCTTGGCTCCCACTTTTTTTCAACGCGATTTTTCGCACTTCTCCCGGAAGGTAAGTAGAGCTTTTGCTCGGGTGTTCACACCACCTTCTTCTTTTGGTTTGCCTTGGTTGGTACTGTTGCTGGTGGGTTTTGTCTTACTAGCTTCCTTCGATTTGTGGCAGTTATTGCTATGGTGTGCTGTGAAGGAGTTTGGGCTCTATTTTGGGGTCCTGTTGTTACTCTGTTTTCATCCAGTTTTGGGATTATAGTTTTGTTGCTTTTCAATGGTTGCAGGGGCTGTTCGTTTGGTAAGCGGTTTGACGGGGGAGGGAGGAAGCTGCTAGGGTTTACTTTGGTGTTTTTCCTGTTCAGGCCTCAAAACTATGTTTTGAGCTGTTGGGTTACTATAGAGGTCCATCTTTTTGTTTGTGTGTTTCTTGTATTTGGGCCTTCCCTCTTGTAATCTGTTGTGTTATAAATAAAGTAAGCCGTTGTCTAAAAAAAAAAAAAACTACATTTTGTGTAGTACACCTCTTTATTCCTGCATGTAATTTATCTTCTAATAATATTTTGTGCTTCATGCCAGATGGATCTTTTTTTATTTCACGTCCTGCATCAGGAACTCTGCGAAATATTTGATGGACCTGGCGTCAATTTACACCTCTGCTAAGCCGACTCGTTGAAATCTCCGTCTTTATCTTCAATGCTCGCATATTTCGCCATTCTCTCTTGAATTTTGCTTTCCAAATTCCTACAAAATCCTAACTTTTCTTCACTCCTTTACTCCAATCTAACTCCCTAATCCAAAATTGATTCTCTTTTCGATGTGGGTTTCTATTGTTCCTCTGTTTATTCGGCTCTCACCAACGAGCCCCAAAATCTGCTCGTCAGAGACGAGGACCTGTATGGTGCAAATTTGTACTAGATTAACATCAAGGCGTTTTTCGACGATGTGTAGGAAGAAGGGTGATGATGGCGGTGGCTGGTGGGAGTGACGAAGGGGCGAATGAGGGTGAAGATGGAGGATAAGGATTGTCTACCCTTCCACTTCCGGTGCCCTTATCACGCCCCGATCTCGACATACGTCCAGGATCGACACGTGACGTCATCCAAATACTCGTATAACTTACATACCCCGTCTCAGGAATATGGCAATCACAATTCGAGAATCAAATTGCAAAGAAATCTTTCATTTACCTTATGGCTGTATCTAACCTCCTCGTTAGATTGCCTACGTACCCTCAAATAGGGATCAAGCCATTCGTAGTTCATTTCCACAAAACTAGACGTTTATTCTACTAAGTTCAAGCAGAGAAGCATACCATTCCTCAATCATTTATTATAGCTTGACAACATGTAATTCCTGGACTCAGACTACAAAACCAACCCCCATGAAAACATGATTTCTCTCCCATCCAACATATAAATCATTATGTCTCATCATGATATCACAATTCACAACATACATCATATTTAAGAACCGACAAAACACAAAACCATTCTCTAGCCGCATTAATTAATTAATTTGATCAAAGTAATAACAATCATTCCCATATCTTCTAAATTCATACCTTATGAAATCATAATCGAATCATGAAAAATCCCAAAGGAGTCACTCAGACGTCCAACATCTTTTCTAACTCAATTCACAAGACTCTCGAAACCATTGACACAAATATACATACATACATACACACACACACACACATATATATATATATATATAACTAAGGCTAGAGTTACATAGTTAGGCCGAGCCTACTTTTCCAAACAATGGGATTTTAGTCCACTCCACGAAATTCAACAACCTCGGGTTTTGGGCCATTCAACGGAACCAAACCAAATATGATCGCCTAAAAATGTACCATGTCCAACCAATCATCATCACCTCTAGAATGCGTATGGTCCCCCATTGCAGATATACCAAGCAAGACCATACATGTACCACAACTACGTGGTACAATCTCATTATCACACATTAACATAATTATACGCATACCTGCTATTGATTCCAGATAAGAGCATATTTAGGTGACTTAGTTAGCTTGTTTTCTTACATTTATGTTGTTAGTTCATAGTTATTTTAGTATTTTAAGCTATTTTCGTGTGTTTGTAGGTCCATATGGCTAAAGTAGAAAGAAGGTGCATTTTGGAGCCTTTTGGAGCAAAATTGGACTTGGAATGGATAACATATGCTTGGAGCAAAAGGAATGGACGAAATTGAAGACCTAAAGATGTTAGGATTCCTAATCAAAGAAGGATTCCTAGTCAAAGAAGGATTCCTACTTGAAGTAGGAAAGTTAAGGCAAGGTTTCCTATTTTGGTTTGACCTTTCCTAATCCTAAAAGCCTTAAGTTCCAGCAACATTGAAGGTCTCTTATGCATTTTAGGACACAAACTAAACCTTCCTTGCATCATTCTAACCCTTGCCGTGCAAGAGGATTGCTCATTCCCTATTTTGTGTCCCAAGATCACATTCCTTTTTAACCATAGTCAATGCCGCACCCTACATTCCTATTCTATTCTAAATCCTTGCCTAATTTCAGCCTTAAATCACATTCCCTTTCATATTCTTCCTTGCCGCAAGTTCCTTTCTTTTTCCCTTTGAATTCTGACTTTAAGTCTCATTTTCCTTGTGGATTTGGGGTCTAATTCTTTCCTAAACCATTTAATAAAAGTTAATATCCTTTCCCTCAAATAAATAACCCTTTGCCGCATTCATAGAAGACCCTATTAAGTCATATACACAATCAGCCATCCTTGATTCAAACACCACCCTTTGCCGCAGCCTTCATTCATTCTCCACCATTCCCATACTTTCATACCTTCAACCACACATCCATACACCATTCCTCTACTGTGTCGCACTCCCTTACCAACCCAAATCCACTCCTAACCTAGAAACACATCCAAAATCATCCCTAAAACCTTTGTGCCGCCGCATAGCAAGGAAGAAGAAGAGAAGAAGAAGCCTTGGACGTTTTTGCATTCAAGTTGGATTGTTGGAATGTTTTTAGGTGTAATCTATCTCTTGTTTTCAATGTTTAATTCAAGTTTTCTTTGTTTTGTTGTGAACATAAGAGGCTAAACCCGTTTTAGCTAGGGGAGGCTTTGAAACCATGATTATGTTTGTGATATAAATTGATTAATTCCAGTTGTGATTTCATAAATTGTGAATGCAATTTACTTAACTGTTTGATTGAGAATTTATTATTGTATGTTGATTAGGGAGGCCTACTTAGTTTGCATGCCTGAATTTGGTGCTAGAATATAAGGGAGTTTCACATAATCGTTACAAACTTATATTCACAAGTAGTTAAGATTATTTTCACAATCATGTTAAGTTAAATTCCTAGCATGAGTATCATGATGTCATAGTTACGAATGCTTTGTCAATACTTATGATTTTCATAGAACGTAATGATCTTTGATTGTATCTCTATTATGATGTCATGTAGGGAACTTTTGAAGAATGCTTTGGGTTGTCGAATGATGTCATCCAATCCAATAACTAAAAGAGAATCTGAGGGTTAATTAGTGATGTCACGGTTAATCTGGGGTGTTGAGGTTCATGGTTCATTGAAAAAGTAACTAGAAATCAATTTGTGTTTGAATGTATCATGTGTGGAAAAGAATCCTCTAGCTAGCTAATCATCCATAGTTTTTCCCAAATTCGTCCAAACTTTGCTTAAGTCTTTTAGTTACTTATTTTTATCTTAAATTCGTAAAAAATCCAATCCCCTTTACTTTGTTGTGTCAAATCTGTCCTATTGTGTGTTTTTAATTGTTTTGAGTCAAAACCAATTCTATGTTCATCCAAATTAAGTCCTAGAGTCTAGTTTGGGTCTATTTGATTGTTTTGTGTTGTTTTGAGTCTTTTTAGTTTGTTTTGAGTCATATAAGTTTAGTTAAGAGTCTTTGAGTTTGTTTAAGTGTTTTTAAGTATATTTTTGTATCTATGAGTC